AGAGACTTTTAAAAGGTGGGAACAAGAATCTTCCAGATTTCACGCCCTTCTCTTGTCAGCCCTATGTGGCAGAAGAAGTATTCTCTGGTTTCAGCTTTTTGTCTTTCCGGAAATATTTTTGAGATGCGATAGCAGAGCTCACCACTAGTGGGCCCTAGAGAGTATTTCCTATTTTTCCTGCTCTGCTGCTTATGGCAATAGAACACAGTGGCAAAGAGTAACAAAATAGGGAACTGCAGCAACAATTATGGCAGCCGGGTGCCATGAAGTCACGAGTCACGCACTGAGCTCTGCTCTTGTGCACGTGAGCTCAGACTCACTTCTTCCCTTGCTCACACCTGCTACGTCCTTTCTCTCTTGCAAACTGTCATTAATATTATTACTCAGTCTCAGCGCTTCAGATGGGATAAACTGCAAGACAGAAAGACACTCCTTAAAAAAATAAGGGAAAGAGAAGAGGAATCATAAAGAGAAGAAGAAAAAGACGACGCCAACGGTGTGACAGGATCTACATTTGATTTATGTCGTACACAAAACGGCTTTGCGTGACAACACAGATTACAAAAACATTTGACACGGAGAAAAGGGGAGGAATTGACAAGGAACAATTATGACTTGGCAGATCGAAGGGAGCTGCCGTCGTCTTTCCCAACACATGAGCCCCTTCTCAAATGAGCACCCGGAGAGGGCATAAACACTCTCTCAGACCCTGCCTTGATTCTGGTAAGTTAGTTCTTTTTCACCTGCAAGGGGAAGCCACCCGTGTACCACCACCCCATCCAGCCTGTGCATAGTTGTTTGGGCATCCGGGGTCAAAGAGCCACATCCACACGGCAGCTTTAAACAACTTTCGAGTCTCTCGCGGCAGCTGGGTACCCCTCCCCTCCTGAGCCGGGTTGTTCCCATGGCGAACGTGCTCTCAGAATTTAGAAAAAGTTATCCTTGGCAAGCGACAACTAATTCTTGAAGCTGAACCACAAAGTTTCCACCCTCTTCAAATATTTCAACTCTACTTGTAATCAGTAGAACTGGTCTTTTGATAAGGACTGGCATCGGTTTATTCCCCCCCCCCGGAGGGAGTCTGGGGGCTGGGGCACCACCAAAGACGTGAGAAATCTGCTCCAGGTTGGAGTCCGAACATCACAAGCGCTAGCCGGGGGGGGGGGCGGAAACCTGAACCTTTTCACTCAGATCTGTCCAAGGTGCTGAAAAACCTGCGCTGGTCTTTGTGAGAGCGCTTTGAAGCCCCGAACCCTAGAACCCAAAATGGATCCAGCTCTTTCAGGCGTACCTTAAAAGTTCGGACTCCTACTAGGAGTGGTTCCGCAGCGGGTGTGGAATTTGGAGCCAGTGGCACAGTTGCGGCCCACTTGACCACGATTTGGAATAGGAAGTTGATTTAGAAAGACCTTTGGTGTGACCTAGCCTGTCCCTTCATGACCTTCTTGAGGTCTAGCCACATTCCCTAAGCTTTCTAAAAGTTAAAACTTGCCGCCTTAGGCCTGTTTATACAGGACTCAACCTTGTTGAGTGCGGTGGATCTTCCTCCTGAGTCATCCTGTCTTGGGACATGCTTGCCATCTGGGAGGGACGCTTCTGTCTGCCCGGGACCCCGGCTTGCTCCCAGCAAGCGCATGCGTGTTAACCCTTCAGCTGCTGGGTTTGTTTTTCCCCCTCTGCAAACACAGACTGTAGGTCAGCTGTGTTTTCTCAGCGCATTTTTAATCCAAAGAACAAACAGGCAGCTGGATTTCGAATGAGTTGAGGACGGACTCCGGCTGAGTAAATGGACACAGCTGAAGAGAGGCGGGCTTCCTGGAATGCGTGGTACTGATGATGGTGGATGGTTCCAGGGAGGCCCATGAAAACGAGAAATCTCAGTCCGTCCAACCCTGGGCTGGGACATGTGACCTTTCTTTTGGGACTACGCTTCCCAGAATCCCCAGACAACAATGGGATTTATAGTCTAGACAGTTTCCAAGCCCAGCACTCACCAAAATGCAGCTCTAGCGATGCTCACCAAGCTGAATACAGAAAAACAGCTTTCTCCCTGTCCACTGTCTCCATTATTTGACGTTTAATGGGAAATGAAAGAAAGCTGGCAGGGAATTAGTTGGTTTTGCTTGAAATGTGGTGGTGGAGGAGAGTTCAAGATGGAACAAGTGGGTTCCGGATCCAACCGAGCCTGAACTCTCTCCGGAGGCAAAAACGTTGAAATGGAGGTTGTCCTTATTTTGGGCGCATCACGAGAAGGCAGGATTCTCTGGGGAAAGACAATAAAGCTAAAGAAAGTTGACGGTAGTAGGAAAAGAGGAAGGACCCCGATACGAGATGGACGCAGTCCCTAAAGGGAGCCATGACTTCTGAGTTTGCCAAACCCGAGCAGGGCTGTGGAGGATGGGAAGCTTTGGAGATTGCTTCTCCATAGGGTGGCTGTATGTCGGAGGGGGCTACAGAAAGCACACCGCCCCCACGATATTTAGGAAACGCACGCCTGATCTGCTTCTGTGTCTCTGCCTGTGCTGCGGAACATGTTCTCTCTCTCTCTCTTCCCCCCAGTTGTGAGTAGGGCACACGGCTTCCATGCTGCATGGCTGCGTGGCCTTTTTGCCGCCTCCCGTTTTTCACCGCCTGAGGCAAAGCGGCATTGCCGGTCCCAAAGACCCACAAGCGTCTTCCAGGCCAGGGAGGCCATGTGCCCCCTTCTGGCATCCGCCATCGTTCTTTGGAGGCCAAGATCCCCAAAGTTATCCTGACCTTTCCGGATTCTGTCCTGCTCTGCAGGTATGGAATAACTGGAAAGGGCCCATCAAGGACGTTGTGTGCCCCCCTTTGTCAAAAATATTTCGCGGGAGTCGGAAGGACCTATAACTTCAACTCTGGAGTTTGCTTCCTGCGCACATCTGTCCTTGGCGAGGCCGATGAGGGCTTCGCCGCCCCCTCCAGAGCGAGCCGTGGCGGAAGGTGGCGCATGCGAAAGCAGAAATGGCGATTAATTATTGAATAACCTGCAACCCAGGGATAGAAAAAAGCTGGATAAAATGCATATTATTATTGCATAATTAGGGCCATACATTTTGCGGCGTGCAAAGCCCAGACTCACGCTGTCACTTCCTCTCACAGACACACACAGGGAGGCATTCGGAAGGAATATACAAGTATTTCTATATTCTTTATATATAATAGGCATGTTGGCATCCTTGGATAATTTATATCTTTGGTTCCCCCCTCCTTTTCCTGGTACCCTGTTCACATCCGAATTCTTTCCATCTTTTCTTACCTTCTTATCTGTCTTTGTGATCTCCATCCTCTTATCACTTCCCCCCCTCTCTGTCATCCTCACCGTTTCCTGTCTCTACACTGAAAACCTGACATGGCAAGTTAGTTTTAATCAAACTAGGCTGGTGACTTCTGGTCGGCTTGGGCAGATGGGAGCCCCACCACCAGCTGAGGAAATGTCCTGTCTGTGTTCGGGTGTGCGAGAGAGAGAGGGAGAGAGAGAAAATGTGCTGTTCTGTGTTAGGCTGCCTCTCTGTTTTGCCTCCAGCTCTGGATGTTGCTCAATTGCTACTTTTTCTACCCCACCAAAAAGAGTGATCCCACCATCACAGCCCGGCTGCGCTTTTCCTCTTCCCTCCCAGCCTCCTTCCCTCTTTTGTCATGTCTGTCATCCTATAAAACTGAAGTTGAGAGACTGTAATATTAATGATCTGTCCCCATTTTAAGAGGGATTTCATTCCACGCCAGTGCTAAAAATCTGGAGATCTCTCACCCATCCTTTGAAAGTATCAAGAATGAGCTGTGAGCCAAAGGTATTTTTTTCCTACTCCAACCTCACCCCAGATGTAATTTTGGTAGACACCCATCATCTGCAGTCTTTTGCCTGCTGACGTGGAGACTAAGTCTTCTTTCTCCGATGCTGTCACATTTCATATATTTGAGTATCTCATGCTTCCTGCTCAAAGTCCTACATTTTTGGCACAAATATAGGGTGTGTGACACCTGGGTTAAAAACAATATGTATGTGGAAGGGATCTGGAATGTCTTAAAAGCCTGCAAGTCAAACATGAGCCCATCGCGTGATGTGGCGGCAAAAAGAGCTAAGACAGTTCTAGGCTTCATTGACTTGAAGGAAGATGAACCAAAACTAATTTAAAGCAGAAAAGTAAAACAATTCATTTTAAAAAACCCACTTGGGCAGCTAGTCATTAAGGGAAAGTTTCCCTGAAGAGAAAGGTATTTGCTCGCTTGCAGAAGGAAGGAAGGAAGGAAGGAAGGAGCTGATGATGGATAAGAGGAAGGAAGGAAGGAAGGAGCTGATGGATAAGAGGAAGGAAGGAAGGAGCTGATGATAGATAAGATCAAAATATTTTGGGGGGCGGAAGGAAGATCCCCCTGTCTTTTAAACAAGCAGGAAGACTCATGTGATTTCTGGGGACAAAAGAGAAGAAGCCAGAAAGCACCCCCCTAAAAAGGAGGAACATTTTAGGAGAGGGGATCCCCCCATGTCTTTTTATCAAGGGGGCTCCAAAAGCCCCCAAGGGCTGCCCTCCAGGCTGGGACCCTGCGAGGGGAACGAGGAGGGAGGAAAAATCAGAAAGAGCCAGATTTACACCTCCCCCCCTCCCACCAGAAGCGAGACTGCTTGCTGAGAAGGTCCCTTTTATTCGGATCCGCTGCCTTCCTTCTTCCCTTTGCTTTTTTTTTGAGGGGGGGGCTGGATCTCTCTCTCCCCCCCTGTCCTTAACAGATCTGGAAATTGAATACAGAAGCAAGAGGGGAGGCTTTGAGACAGAGAAAGAGAGAAGGGGGGGGAAACCAGAGAGAGAGAGAGGGAGCGTAGAGGGGGGGGCGGGAAGGTGGAGCCAGTTTTTTTCCCTGGCCAACCAACCTTGAGACTTGAGTGGAGGGAGGAGGCAAGGGGATCAAGGGGAGGGGGGGGAGGCCTCCACCCGGGTTGGATGATGAGGATTGATGATGGGTTGGCTTGGGAGAAAAGAGGGAGGGGAGGGGGGCCCGAAAGGGAGAAAAGAGCAGGCGGTTACTTTAGGCTGACCAGCCAACTGGTAACAATGTGTCTGTTCCAACAGTAGAAAAGGAAGCCGGCTTTATTTAGTGCTTTGCAACCCATTCAAGGCCAAAAAAAGGGGAGAGAGAGAGAGAGAAAATAGTAAGAATAATCAGATTTTTTCCTCCCCCCCACTTTTTAAATAAAAAAAGAGGGAGCTTTAAAGGTGATCCGCGGC